GGACCGTCACGGGTATGACTATGGTTAATGGGAATTCCATGATTTGTACGAGTTATTGCAAGTAGAGTCCGTGGGCTGAAGTCGAAGATCGTGTAAGGGCCGCTTTTATGGTTTATTCGTGTCCGAAGTCCATACCAGTTGGCTGCCACTGACCTTCATGACATTAATAGCCTTACTGTTCCACGCTCAGAGCGCCCTATGAAAATAATAAGACTGCTACATTAAGTTGTAGATGTTAGAGGTGAGCGAGCCGGTCCGATTAGCAGACCGAAGTGTTCCTACTAAAAGAAGCGGTAAGTGAACTGTTGAAGATGTTGCAGGGAGTCATAGTCACATGCCTAAGTAGTCCAAAAGAGGAGCATCGTCGCCAGGTGGGACAGAGACATAGAACTTGTCTATAGTTCAGTGTTCAGTGTGTTTGAGAGAAATAGGTTTAGGTACTTTAACTGCCTATTTGTGCACAAAAATCGTAAGAATTTTCGAACATGCGAAGAAATCACAGCGTCATATGAATGTAGACCTAGATTTACATAGGTCATTGGTTGTGATGGTTACACAGTTTCATAGTCCGCTTGTTGCTGCAGCATATTTCTGTCAAGCCGCTGTCTAAATATTTCCGCAAACAGAGACATTTCGATCGCCTCGGGAAGGCTATTCCACGACACGGTTGGAGAAAAAAATACGTCCTCAGAACCGCTCTTCCTTGGGGCACACATAGTTTGGAGGCATGTCCCCGGAGGTCATTTGTAGTGACGAGTACGAAACGTTGTTACACGGGAGGACGCAGTCCAAGCCACGCACGATAGGGAAAATTCGCATAAAGTCCCCAGCAACTGCCTAGAATTCAGAGGATAGTGATTAATGTTATTTAGGCGGATCTCTTATGATAGTGCACCTTGGCCTCTTAGCAATTTTGTGGCATGTCTCTACTCCCTTTCGAGTATATTAAAATCCCGCTGTGTCCAGAGTCCCCAGGCCTGGACTGCATATTTAAGATGTGGTCTTACAAACGTGCTGAAGACTTGGGAGAAGCATTCTTCATCGAAAACTGTGAATGCCGCTTGATGATGTACAGCATGGAAGTTGCGGCCTTTGCCGCCTAACAACATAATATAGAAGGATTTAGGGTGTCTGTAATCCAAACCCCGAGATCTTTCTATGTCTCTACCTCTGAGAATGGCATTCCATTCAGGGAGTATTGCCGCGTATTATGGATTTGATTTCGATTTCCGATACACAGTATGATGCATTTGTTCAAATTGATGGACGGGAACCAGCTGTGAGATCACTAATTCAATCGACAAAGATTTTCTTGGAAATTAGTCTCGTCGGTATCATTCTGGATGACTTTCCTGAATTTCATATCACCTGCAAACATAGCACAATCACAGTCCAACTCCTCTCCACAGTACTTAACTAACAAGAGAATGAAGGTTGGCCAGAGCAGTGAGCCTTGCGGGACTCCACCCTCTATGTCTGTGAGTCTTGACTGCTGCTGCTCCATGCACATACTTTGGAAACTGTCGACGATAACATTCTTTATCCATTCAAGAAGTTTGTATCCGATGCCCATCACTCCCAACTGGTGAAGGAACATTGTCGTACACCTTCCGGAAATCAGCGTAGGCCTCAGATACGGTGTGCTTGCGTCGAGTGCACTTGTCCAGTTTTGCACTGTATATAGCATGTTCGTTTCACGTGATCTTTCCCTTAAAAGCCGTCTTATGCAATGGACATGGAGCTGATGGTTTCAAAATAAGTCATCAATGCCTTTTTGATGGTCTTCTCTATGACTTTGGAGCAGATTGATGTCAGGCTGACGGGCCTGTAGTACTTCACAAGAGCACGACTACCATCTTTGTAAAGCGCTTTTCGATCGTATGGGCCATCTTCTTCTTCTCTTTAAACTGTCCTCTTTCGGAAGTGGTAGTAGTGCTCTGAGTTTGATATCATCTTACCTGATCGCTGAAACATAACGGGTTAAGATTCCCAATGTTATTTCCAACCCAAGATGCGTTAGGAGTGGAGTCATTCAAGGTAGTATAGTTGGCCCACTATTATTTTGCCTTTTTGTCAACGACGTGGCATACTTATTTCAGAATGGTAAGCCCTTCGTGTATGTCGATGATCTGAAAGTTGCATGCAGGTATAAGCCGACAGATCGTGACATCGTGCTTGAGCTCCTAAAGAAGACCTACAGGCCTTTGCGCCGTGGTGCTGCACAT